GGGGGGGGGGGGGGGGGGGGGAGTGTTAAGCCGCTGCCGCTGCAGCAGGGGGCCCCCGCGCTGCTGGGGGGCCCCCCGGGGGGCCCCCCGGGGGCCCGGGGGGGGCCCCGGATGTACAAGAACCCCTCGGCGGAGGCCAGGGCTGCGGCCAGGGACCGGGTCTACTTCTGGATGAGTGTGGAGGATAATGAGGACGGAAGAGACGGCCGGGGAAAGCCCGAAGAGGGCCTCGCGTGGGCCATTCACGAGGCCCTTAACTTCGCAGAGGCGGGGCAAATGGTGGAGAACTCCCACTTCATCACTTGGATGCAGCAGGCGGCGCTGCCCAAGTTCAAGAAGCTCTACGGGAAGCTGCAGGGGCCCCTGCTGCTGCCGCTTTATGCCTATGTCTCTATAAGCTATGACGTGGGCCCCTGGGGGGGCCGCAAGGCCCTGCTGCTCGTGGCCCCTTCTCCCCTCGGGGGGGGCTCTTTGTACTTGGGAATATCTTATTTGGTCTTCGGGCTGCTGCTGCTGCTCTTCCTGGCTTACTTGCTGTGGCGCGTCCGCAGCAGCAGGGGCCCCCAGAACAGCGCCAGGCCCTGGCGCCGCCTCTTCAAAAAAAAACACTCCCACAAATCCCGCAAAAACAACAACTCCAAACGCCACTAAACCCCCCTTTCTCCCCCTTCTTCGCCCCCAAATTCAACAAACAAATCCCCAAAATCCCACACTTCTGGCCTCCAAAACGACCCCACAACACCCAGGTGTACGTACACCCGGCGCCCCACACGCCACGCCGAACCCTGGACGTACACCCCACCGCTCCCAAGCACCTGCAACTCGCAACGCGCGAAACTGCTTCTTGACTTCCAGCTGCATGCAGCCCCAAACACATGCATGCATGCGTGCATGCGTGCATGCATGCATGCATGCGTGCATGCATGCATGCATGGGCTTCCTTCTATAAAGACGCCTTTATATTTCTAAGCCCACTTGGACGCATGCAGATGCATGCATTCAAGTACAAATTTAGAGTTAGCTGTTCATTCGCAAGAGTTTCCACATGCGGCTTTATTTACCCAATCTGCACATGCATGCACAAGTACAAAGTTATATATATACATTTACAATATACATATATATATATATATTGTATATATATATATATATATATATTGTATATGTGAAAATAATAATACTTACATATTATCTATATAGTGTTGTGCAGCATTTGTATATTATATATATATATATATATATATATATATATGCATATATATGGACTTATAATATGGATGTGAGTTTGTAGATATGCTTTTTTATGTACATGTAATAAACAAATATACATATAGACATATATATATATTTATATACATATGTGTTAGTATATATATATGCATAAATGTGAAAATATAATAAACAAATGTGTACACGAATATAGATAAATAAGTGAACAAAAATAAATAAAGGGAAATACATACAGAATTATATATGTGTTCAAGAATGTGGTAAATGTGCTTGGGTGCTGCTTTTGCGATAAAGGTGCGATTTTAGGGTTTAGGGTTTAGGGTTTAGGGTTTAGGGTTCAGGGTTTATTTAAAATTGCTTTAATTATATATAATTGCGTTTATTTAAATGCTAAAATGCCTTTATTTGTGCCTTTTTGAAAGCACTTTTGGGGCCTCGCTGCGGTGTACGTACACCCGCGTCTGAGCTGCATGTACACCTCAGCCGGGCCCCACAGAAAATCTCCTATTTCTTTTGTCTTTCCACAAACTTTTGGACAATAAATACAATTATATGTTTATTTTTACATTTTTATTTATATTTGTTAGTTATCTCTCCATCTTTGCCAGTACATTGTGCATGCATTGTGCATGCATGCGTGGTTTTATATATATTATATGTACATATATATATATATATATATATATATATATATATATATATATATATATATATATATATATATATATATATACATATATATATATGTATAAACATATATTGGTGCTTATATGTGTATATGTTTGCATGTAATGTTTATTTTCATTTATTTCTATTTATTTACTTATGTGAAAGACATTTATGCATGCGCATGCATTAAATGCATGGAAAGATGTAAGTGAAATAGAGTTGCATGCATTTGCGTGTATGTACACCTGAACACATAGCGAAATAAATACACAACTGCCAATCAACTTATTCAGTAAATAAATAAATGATAAATTGAAAGGCAAATATATAAAAAGCTCGCGTCTAAATGAATCGCAAAAGACCTACAAGTACTTAGTGCAAAGAACCACTTGCAACAAAAAAGAAAAAAGTAAATTGATGCAATTTATTATTTGGAAGACGTTCTAGCTGCCCCACTCTAGTGTACGTACACCTGGGACCCCACACTTCGCTTCTGCGCATTGCGCATTGAAACGTATTTACGAATTTCTTTTTGCTTCTGCTGCACTTCTGCAGACAAATAAATGCATGCATATGTTTGGAAATAAAAGCATTTATTTAA